AAGACTAAGGTTTTATATTATACATACATCATCAATTTTAAGTATACAACTACAAACCATCCTAAGGTTACAAAAGTGGGAGAAGGTTTTTATTCGTCAAACTAGGCTTCTAAAGCCGACTTTACTACCAAAGAAAGGGTTAGAAATCTACATACCTTCGCCATGGACCCGTTATGGGTCTACCATACCTATATCTACACATAATACACGGACATCCTGGCTTGGACCAGTAGTTAGTAGTCGGTGCAGAGGTAAACACTCGAGATGCTTCCCGGAAGGTCCAACTCTAACTGTCGGACACGAACTGGCATAATGCCCAGTCCCGTCACCAGTCAAGAATCTGATGGCCGGATCTCCTATGGACGATAGAAACGGCACTCCCTCGAGTAATGACCCATCTCCCTGCAATTGTAGCAAAATGGCTCCCACTGCACGGGAGTTGGAGCCAAAGGCACCTCTGTCTTAGGCCTCAGGGTATAACCCTGTCTGATAACATCATACTACCTTTAAATTGAGGTAAGCGGAGAATCCGAAAGGGTCAGATAGGTAAAAGATGGAACCAACGGCGACACCACAAGTTCACTCGAGACAACTTGATCATCATCAGGAAACACAATCAGAGAAATCACATATTCGAATCCAGGAAGGGTCTAAACCAGACTATCGGGAAGGATAAGGTAATCTTCCCACATAGTCATCTCCGGCTTAGCCTCTGAATCAACCATCTCATACTCCTCCAAGTCAATGACAGGAATAGGCGTCTCCACACTCTCTTCCTTGTCCTCCAAGTAATATGTGAACGAAGCAATCACACCATCATCCTATCCTGGATCCATCTCAATCTCAGGAACACTCGGATTTGCAATCCTCCCCGGTGTAGTCGGAGAGACTTCAAAAACAGACGTTGGGACACTCGGCCCCGCCTCCGCATCCCAGCTAAACAACTCCAAGAAACTCGCCTCTTCAATGTGTCGGTACTGGAACCTGTCCAATGACGGACTAACAATCTGCTAGTGAAATCTGATGAGACACTATTATTAAGAAATGTTTTGAAATATTATTTTATGTCCAGTGAACTTTGTAATTTTCTTCGACTCTTACAAATATATCTTTAATCATTTTTTATTCATGAACTTTTTCGATGTAATAACAATTAATTTTTTCCACCTAAAATACTGTATGTAAAGCAATAACAAGTTTAATTCTTATGAAAGATAAATCATTTTTTTTTGTCAAAAATATAATCTCATATTGTAGTGTAGGTTTATAATGTATTTGTATGAATAGTAATTTTGTTTTTCAATTTTATTATTACGTTGTAGTTGTTCTGAATTACCAAAATATAAAGTTTGCTAATTATTGTTTAAAAGCAAAAAAAAAAAAATGTAAGCGAAACAAAAATAAATTACAAGTAAAAGGTAAATTTTCACTATCTCTATTTCTATTCATCCAATCTCAATGCATTTTTATATATTCTTAGTTGTATTATTTATTAATTTGTTATGATCATGCTTTATATTTTTTTGTATTTTTTATTAAAACTATTTAAGTTAATTGGGTAATTTAATTTTGGTTTTTAATGGAATTTATTCTTTTGATGATGTGTATACCTTAAATAAAATGAGAAAAACTCTCTTATTATATATATGATCCGAGAATTCAATTTGGTTCAGTTTCGGTTTCGGAATTATAACAACAAATATAATGAAACACAAGAATGAGAAGACAAATAAGCATTTCTGAATAGAATATATTGAAATAAGATATTAAGGAAATACAATCCTAGTCAAGCTCTTCTTTTACGATCACAAGATGTTGGAAAGCTTTATCGTCATTTTTTTCACCGTTGTTGACTACATCCTCTTGTTTAGACTTTTGAGACTCACCATGAATTTCGTGATTTAGTTTACAATATTTTCTTTTGTTCTTTGCACGAAGTCTATGTTCTCTTTCTTCGCTCGTTTCATTCTTGTAGTGAGATGACATATGTGCAGCAAATTTTTGAGAAGTATCGAATACGCCATTGCACTTGGGACATGTATATGGACCATATTTTTCATATGGTAGACTATGTGTCCGACCATCATACTGATCATCGTTACTTTTCTCATTTTCTTCAGACTCAATATAATCAGTACTTGTTCCAAAAAACTTGGTTGGTTTCAAGATTTTCTTCAAAAAAGAACCATATTGAGGAACACGTTGGTTGTAGTTGTGTTTTGATGACAATGAAAACATGTCTAAATGTTGAGAATATGCAGAATCTTGACGCGGAACAATGACATTAAGAGGTTTAGGATTCAAAAGTTCACACTGTTTATCAAAAATATTTGGAGGAAAAAATTTAGGATTCCAAATATTAGTTTTGGAATACATGGCACGTTTGACACGTTGAATATCATATTGTACAATGTCAAGTGTATTAGTAGGAACAATAGCGGTATACCTATTTGTAATGCTTTGTGTGAAAGAAACTCTGGTAAAATGAGGATTGTTTTTTATAGGAAAATAATTGTCACCAGAAATTATGTTTCTCCTCATCATTTGATTTTTCACATGTGAATTTTTAAATCCAAATGAAGATGAAGAAACATGTGAATTTTGAAAAAAAGTTAAAGAAGGAGATGAGGAAAACAAATCACCATGGTTTGTGTGATCCGAGGTAATGAACATCGATTGAACTATTTTGGAATTTTGATTCATTTGTTTGGAGGAAAAACCACGATTGTTAGTATCATCACAATGAAGATTGAACTTATTTGGAATAGAAGACATTTCAAATGATAGATAGAGTATATTTTATATTGTTTGGCTTACCCTTTTATATAAAAATCTAGATTAAATAATATAGATATTAACTTCAAAAACGGAAACTAATCTTTAAATACGAAAGGAAAAAAATCTACTTTATGTTATGTATTTGATATTATATTAAATATTTATAAATAAAAGAATCTATAATTATTCATTTCTTTCCCTGAAAACACCTTTATTTCTTTGGTAAAATTTGATTTCCTGACATATACCTGGATTCGGTAATTGAAATTATGGACATTATCAAAATTTAATCTTTATGTTAACATTTAAGGTAATTTACTTTAAGAAATATATATTCATATAGAGCATTTGTTGTTTGGTGATATTATTTAGTTCTATAAGTTTTTTCACTAATTATTATTAAATAAATATTTATATTTTCAATTGTGGAGTGATTTGCAATAATATTTTATCTTATAAAAGCTTTTATCGAAAATCTTATCTTGTAAGTTATAACTCAGTAAGTAATCATATATATAATAGATTAAAGAATTATTCGGGGATGACACTTCATCATTTGAAAGCAAATAAAAAATTTAACATGTGTCCAACTATTAATGCATATTAAAGCTATAAAATTTTGAATTTAACTATGTTAAAAGTCACTAAAGTAGAAGCATAAAATAAACGAAACTCAAATTTAATTCAGAAACAACATATCTAAACGTTTAAATACAAAAAAATTAAGATTTTAAGTGTGTCTTTTCATTGTTTTCTAGGTGATTTAATTGTCGTCTTCAAACTATAACGAAGATAATTTAATCTCAATGAAAGTAAAGAAAAAAAAATTAAGTTATAAGACCAAAAATAAAAACAATAGGTTTAGAAAGTTTTCAACAACTAAAGAAGAAAAGCCAGAACTAGAAAATCATAGACACAAAATAACATTCAATAAATAATTAAAGAGATTGCAAATGATCAAAAATAGAGAAAAAAACGACAAAAAAGCAGAACAAAATACGGAAACAAAAAGATAAGAAAATTTAAAGACGTGAAAAGATAGATGGAATCATTGAAAGATATGAGAAAAAAAAACTTAAAATGGTAAATTGAAAAAGTTAATTTTACAACATCAAAATAATTTGGATGAACTAGAGTATGAAAAACAAGTAAATATTTGAAGAAACAATAGATGGAAAGAGATACTAGGATCATAAAGAAAAAAAAAATTATTAAAAATGAAAGAGAGATTGATAGTAGAATTGAAGATCTAAATATATATTTATTTACAATACAAAATTTAAAAAAAAAAACGCAAGTATCGCTGGTCCTCCCCTAATTAAGTTAAAAATTGTTTTAAAAAGGATTAATGACTCAATCTTATGAGATAAATTTCTTTCATTTATCATAGAATTTGGAGAGGGGCACTTATTCCTATAATATTGACTGCATTCTCTAGTTTGATATTTGGAAAATCGCCATGAACTGCGTGAATAACTTACGATATTAACTTCTTTTTTTTGTAGAATATCTCAATTTTGTTTTTGTTAGTCTTACTCTTGGAATGAAATGATATATGTTGAACAAGTTTTTAAAAAATATGAAATCAACTTTAGCACTGAAATATATATATGGAAGTAGAAACTAACACAATCGAGATTTGTCTATGGTTTTAATTTAGGGATACGACTTGCGAGAATTCTCAAAGAACAACAAAGCGGATCGAAACCAAAGATGGTGTTCTTGGTATTATTAAGAAAAAGATAGCTTTGATCGTACAAGAGTTTGATCGTAAAAGAAAGAGTGTTTGCGCTTTGAGAGCTTTGTGTAGTCTAAATTCTAAAGCGATCTTTCCACCTCTCTACGAGAGCCTTGAGTCTCTTTATATAGCGATGATAAACCGCCTCTCCAGCGATATTCTCGGAAGATTTCCATTTATCTTGAAGGCGGCTAGAATATCGCGGATTAGGATAATTTCCTTATTCTTCGGAGTCTTTGGAAGATTTTCCTGATTTGAGTTGATCCTTCTAGATTCTCTCTTATCATTTCCGGGTATATCGGAAATGATGTCCTGCTTAGAAATGATACTTCTGAAAGCAAATATTTATTAAGTACTTGCCTTGGGTGATGATGAAGACTTCGCCTCGGAGAACTTGTGCAATCGGCTCGGGTACCCAGGAAGGGCTGGTTCGGGTACCCAGGAAGAGCTGGTTCGGGTACCCCGAGGTGATGGGCTCGGGTACCCCAAGATGACTTGTTCGGGTACCCCGAGGTACCCGATGACTTGTTCGGGTACCCCGAGGTGATGGGCTCGGGTACCACAAGACGACTGGGCTCGGGTACCCGAGCTGGCAGGACACCCCGAACTGATTAGATGAATAACCCGAACTGATTAGATGGATAACCCGAGGTGGATGATGCGACGCCCCGAGGTGATCTCTAAAAAGTTTCCCGAGGCGCTCTAAGTCTGGCTCGGCGCCAAAGGATGGAATCCGACCCCAACAGTTAGCCCCCCAACTTGTTAGTTTGGAGAATCAAAGTGTGACGAGCTTTATGACAATTGGGCCGAGCCGTTTACTTCGGACAGTTCGGTCCCTTTCATGATGTAGATTTTTTGGCGATTCGAATTCCTTTGTCGTTTCATCTTCTCTTGGCGTGTGACGGTTGGGATTCCTTCTCGAGAAGTGAAAAGGTCCTCCGCTGATTCCCGAGATTCGTGTGGATGTGAAGCATCCTATTCAATTCGCGCGTGCCCGACGCGCCTTAGATGCGGACACGGTGTGTTTTATTTGGCTCGTACGTATCCGACGCGCCCTAAATTCCTATAAATGTTAAGTCTCTGACTCATTCTCTCATTTCGCAATTGCAAAGGAAAATTTTCCAAGGTTCGTTCTCTTCTCTCTGATCTTGATTTCTTCCATTTTCTACTTTTTCCGTTTTACTTCCGTTGTAGCGCCGCCGTTATTAGATCTAGGTTGATTTCTCCGATCTGCCAAGTTTTGCTTTTCCGATCAACTACTTCAGTTGTCCGAGCCAGAAAATGTCTCTCTCTGATTCCAGTGGTTCGTCCCGAGGCGACAATCTTCCTGTCTATAATAGAAAGATGGTTTGGAGTTCTTCTAGTGACCCTGAGGCGGACATCACGCGTCGGGATAGCGACGATGAATCTTCTCACAATCAAAAAGATCCGAGCCGTTTCGTGGCTCGGGAGGATGCCGCGGCGGATATTGCTCGGGAGCTTGACTTACCAGAGGAACCCGAGGAGGCACTTGTTAGGAAAAGTCGTCTGAGCCACCTTTGCCTTCTATAAAGGCCGAGGAGGTCTACTATGACTCTGACGAGGCAGCAAGGTTGCCTCAGGCGAAAGTTTAAGTAGCCAAGGGTCAACGGAAGAAAAGACGAGCCAAGAAGGCGAAGAAACCCGATCCTCCGGGTTCCACCCTATGTACGGAAGATTCCCTTCAGGATCTTAAAGCTCGGTTCGGCTTTAGCGAGGGGATTGAACTGAGGCTTCCAACTCGGGATGAGCGAGCAGATGATCCACCCGAGGGGTTTTTCACCCTTTACGAGGGGTTCTTTTACCACTGCTACCTTTGGCTCCCTATCCCGCGGCCAATTTTGGCGTTTCTATGGTCGTACAAGATAGCCTTATCTCAGATCACGACCCGAGGCCTGCGCCATCTTATAGGGTCTCATATACCACTCTTTTTTTTACGATCAAACTCTTGATACATCGTGGTCTCCTATGGCTAGGATGATAATGAGGGGATCATTGTGAGGTATGTCGAGCCCGTTTGTTTCACTCTCTTCGAACGTGACCATGTCGTTCGGCCGGTCGAATGGTCTTGACCAGTTGCTGGGCGCCTCGGCTCGTCGTTGATAGGCCTTGATTGCTGCTACGGTATCGAGGCAGTACGATGATCCACCCATTATAGTGAGCACCTTCTGTCGTGTGCCATCGCGATCATCATCGAGCATTTCTCGGGTTCTCTTTGGAGCTTCGTGGTTCCTCGGTTCGGGATGATCTTGCTGCATCAGCCTGCTCAGGCTGACCCTGCTCCGGCTCCAGATCTTTGAGGGTTATGTTCGTCCCGAGCTCTCCGGCTAGAAATTTGGCCGCTAACTTTGCTCCGAGACTTCGGCATCTAGACATGTGATGTCCAAAGGTCTTGTGATGCTCACAATACTCTTGTTCGTCATATGGTGGTTGACTTCTTGTCCAAGTAAAAGAGTCTCTTCCTCGTCCTTGGCCTGCATCGATTTGGTAGTTATGAGCTTCTACGGAATCGCGCTCCTTGTGGTGGGTATATGTTTTGCTTTGATTCGTCTTGTTATGGATCGGCGGACTTGCTTGTGCTTCGTCGGCTCGGGCCAACTGCTTCGTCGGCTCGTGCCGTTTTGCTAACAACTCCATTTCTTCTTTGTGGGCGACAAAATCTGAAGCTCGATGTAATGCATCGCGAATTGTGGTAGGCTTAGATAAGTTCAACTCTTTCCTAAATTCTTACTTGTACCAGAGAGATTTCTTCAAAGCCGAAAGGGCGGCTACATCTGTGATTCCTTCGACCTTGGCTAACGTCGATTTGAAAGTTGTGAGGAAATCTCTCAACGGCTCGGTGGGTTATTGAGACAGAGACCACAGATCTGCGTCGGAGGTTCCGTGGTCGTTGAGCACGGAGTATTGCTTGAGGAAAAGTGTCGACAGCTCGTCGAAACTGTCAATCGAGTTTCGTTCCAAACTCGAAAACCACTCTAACGTGGGTCCCTTGAGGTGTTCCACAAATAGTAAGCATAGACCAGCATCCTTCTCCCCGGGCTTAAACCTGGCTCGGGCCACGGATATCACGAATGATTTAATGTGACCTTTCGGGTCGGTTGATCCGTTGTAAGAGTCGATTTTGAACTTCCCCAGATTGGACATCGTTGTTTAAATTGGGATGATTTAAGTGTAGTCTAAATTCTAGAGCGATCTTTCCACCTCTCTACGAGAGCCTTGAGTCTCTTTATATAGAGATGATAAACCGCCTCTCCAGCGATATTCTCGGAAGATTTCCATTTATCTTGAAGGCGGCTAGAATATCTTGAAGGCGGCTAGATTTCCATTTATCTTGATGGGCTCGGGTACCCCAAGATGACTTGTTCGGGTACCCCGAGGTGATGGGCTCGGGTACCACAAGACGACTGGGCTCGGGTACCCGAGCTGGCAGGACACCC